TGGGGGCTGGTGGCCATGGATGCCCAAGCAGGGAGACCTCCCCCCCCCTCCCCAACATCTGGGAAGGGCTGACTTCTGCCTGAAGAGTCTTTATGCCAGCCATGCTGTCCAAAAGCTCCGTGGGGTCCTTCCTTCCACCTGCCCCACCAAGCTGCAGCTCCTCCTCCTCAGGGACCGTGAGATAACCCGCCCGCTGTCCTTCCGTCCACAGCCCGGCCAGACCGTCGGCGTCGACATGGAGTGGCGCCCCTCGTTCAGCACCATCGGAGGGAAGCCGCGGGTCTCGGTGGTTCAGCTGGCGATTTGGGGCCGCGTCTTCCTCTTGGACATGTTCCGGCTGCTCCAGGAGGGGGGAGAGGAGGTGCAGGCCTCTCTCTGCGGCTTCTTCCAGAGCCTCCTGGGCAACCCAGCCATCTTGAAACTAGGCAAGCGGTGCCCTGGGTATGGGAGCCCTTGCGGACGGGCCCCTTAGCGTGCGGTCAGCGTTTTTTCAGCCCGAGTTATCCTTCTCCCGCTTTCTAGCTGAAGAGGGTTCGATCAATCAATTAGAATAGAGCTGGAAGGGGCCTTCAAGGTCTTCTAGTCCAACCCCCCCCCGCCCAAGCAGGGGACCCTAAACCATTTCAGACAGCTGGCTGTCCAGTCTCTTCCTCCAAACCTCCAATAATGGGGCACCCCCTGGGATAATGGTTCTTCCTGTCGGGGGAAATTCCTCCTTAGTTTTAGGTTGCTTCTCGATTAGTTTCCACCCGTGGCTTCTTGTCCTGCCTTCAGGGGCTTTGGGGAATAAGGTAGGCCGGTCCTACCTCGCGGGGTTGTCAGGCAGGCCTTAATAAAACGATGTGTTGAATGCGTGTTCCCAGGCCGGGCTTTCCTTTGGGCTCTGGAGCAGCCAAATTTGGGAGTCAAACCCCGAGGCGGGCTTTGTGTCTTTCTGCAGGTTACGGGATGTCGGGAGACCTGCGTAACCTCATGGCAACCTGTGGCATTTCCAGAGATGCGAACCTGCAGCTCTGTGGAATTCTGGACCTCCAGCTGGTGCACCAAAAGGTGAGGAGGGAAAGTGGACTTTGTGGCCCATGGAGGGAAAGAACCTCCCCCCACCCAGCCACCCACACCCAGCCACCCACCCATACACACACACACACGCGCGCGCACACACACACCAGGGTTGAGCAGATCAGGCCCACCTTGGGGTGCTTCAGGGCAATCCCGGGCTTTTCACAAATGCTGCTTCTTTGGGAAACTCACAAACACACACACACCCCGACACCCACCATTTTTCAGCTTCTCCAAACTTGGAAATGCATTTCCCTAAGACTTGGCCCAAATCCAGGGTTAAGGATGCTGCCCAGACACTACCTCAACTCACCCTCCCTCCCTTCCTTCCTTCCTTCCTTCCTTCGTTCGTTCCTTCCTTCCTTCCTTCCTTCCTCCCTCCGTCCCTGCCTCCCTCCCTCCTTTCTTTTCTTCTCTTCTTCCTTCCCTTTCCTTTCCTTCTTCCTTCCTTTCTTTTCCTTTCCTTTCCTTCCTTCCTTTTTCCTTCCTTCCTTCTTTCCTTCCTTTCCTCCTTTCCTTTCCTTTCTTCCTTCCTTCTTTCCCTCCCTTCCTTCTTTCCTTCTTTCCCTTCCTTCTTTCCCTTCCTTCCTTCCTTCCTTCCTTCCTTCCTCCCTCCCTCCCTCCC